AGATGTGGGGAGCTGCTGTAGGGTTAAACCTGGGGCTGACCTGTGGCAGAGCCACAAACAAGTCGCAGCCTGGAGGGCAGAGCTCTCCTAGCAGTTCTATTTTGTAAAAGTATTCTTGACAGGAAGCCTAAAGCTCCTTTTCCTGACCTTGTAGCCCTCCCAGATTCCTTCCTAAGTAGTTAATGGGCTGTGGGAGGTGCAGCAAGGGTTGCCAAAACAAGAACATTTGTATACATGTTAATCTTGTTTTAATCAGACTATAATATAAAGCATCGGCTTCAGGCTGGGTCTTTTGTGTCCTCATCCAGGCATGGGAGATCCACCAAGCCCCAGCTGTATTCTCTTGTCTGTCTTTTCTTCAATCCTTCACCCCCCCTCCTCAGGTTCACCCTTGGCCAAGCTGGCGCTGCACAAGCAGACACAGATCTTTTCTCAAAATCATAACTCTGAGACAGACAGTAATGTAAATCAAAGCTAGCCTAGGTAACATGTTAGGAAACCTAAGTATGAAAGTGTTTATGTAAAGCAATGACAGTAGTAGACGTGTTCAGGTATTGAACAAATACAGTGTCATGAGATGTTCATATCATAACATCATCATATTGTAAGCCTGTGAGTTTTCTTTGAGATCAAGGCCTTCTCCTCATGTTCCCCATTAGGGAACTGAGCTGAAGGGCCACTCAGCAAACTCGTGACAGTGTCGCCTCTGGCATACAGCTCTCCTAAGCCCTGCATTTCTCTCCCCTTAATGACTACATCAAGGAAATTTCTATCATTTCCGTTGGAGAGAGCTTTCTGGAGAAGAAATTTTGTTCTCTCTCCAAATCATTCACACTACAGGTGTTGAGTCACCCAATTGTGAAAAAGATAGCATATTTTTAAAAAAATCTTTGGAGTTTTGTGGTTGCGAAGAAAGTGGTGACTGACTGACTACCTATAAGTCACAAGCTTCAGACTGAGTTTTCTCTCAGTATTAATTCCAGCTTTAGTTACGTCTCTTTCGTACTAATTTGTGCCCTTATCCAAGTTAATGCTTTCCAATTTTCTTAGAGATTTGCAAAATCTTGAAATGTATATTCTGTCATCCCAGGGCCCTGGGAGGACAAGCCCTTTCCCTGAGGGCTTTGAAAACCTCTAAATTCAAAACCAACATCATGATTAACTGTGGTCAGGCCGGCCTTACTACTCACAGAATCCCAATAGAAGCTCTCCTATTTGGGTGATGGGGAGGGAAAACATGTTGGGGGTGGCAGGGTAGAGAGAGCTTTCTGTTTGTTTTCCAGCCCCTCTTCATAGCCAAGACAGTTCTGTTTTGTAAAAGTATTCTTGTCAGGAAGCCTAAAGCTCCTTTTCCTTTATGAGTGTGTGTCATTTGCTGTATTTTGCCTTATCATTGGTATTTCCTTAAAAATAATGAGTAATGAGCAGTTATGTATTATTCATTCCGAGTGTACAGATCACACATTTATCATGGGCTCCTTTTTTTTTTCCTAGAGCCTGCACTCGACAGCGCATGCTGAGTGGCTCATTTGAGGGGCAGCCGGCAAAGGAAAGGTCAATTCTCAGTGTGCAACATCACATCCGCCAAGAGCGCAGGTAAATACAGCAGGAGACGGAGACGAGGCTGCAGGGAAACCAAGGACGCGTGTGTTACAGGAAGTGTTTGCTGCACACAGCCCTGGTTAGCAGATAGCATGCATTCTACTCCTTGGTAGTAACAATAACGAAATATTCACGATCAGATCCAAAGATTCAAAAGTTCTTTCAAAAAATCTTCACCTTGGTGATGTCCAAAGGGAAATTCTGAATTTCAGTGAGATGTTATCAAAGACAGTTGGATAGACAAAAGCTTTTGCTATAAAAAAGAAATATACTTGTTTTATTTAAGAAAAGTCGTTTTATTTATTTATTTTTTTTAAATAATGATCATTGCTTAAGTCCAAAGTTGGTCTTGAGATATATTGACCAGTTGGTTGTGGTTGTTTTAGATCACTAAGACACGGATCAAACAGCCAGAGGATCAGCAGGGGGAAATCTCTTGAAACTCTGACTCAAGATGTAAGTTCTAAGCAAAGCTTTGGATTTTGAAACATGATTATTAAGATGTATTTAAATGACAGCTCAGACGATTCCAGTGCCTGGGTCTTTCTGTCACACTGTCACGTCTCCATAAGATTTTCTACCAGAGAAAATCAGGAGACTCAGGAAACAAATTAAATGGCTAGGGACAGAGAAGAGATGATTAACCATAGAAAATTCCAGACATCCGACAAACTATATGCCGTTGTTAAGACAGCAACACATAAAATTACATACCAGTTACATTCCACTGAAATTAAAGACATTCAAATCACATTATAGGAATGATTCACATTACTAACTTTGAGTATTTACTAAATTCCAAATCTCTAGACCAGTGATGGCAAACTTTTTGAGCTCGGCGTGTCAGCATTTTGAAAAACCCTAACTTAACTCTGGTGCCATGTCACATATAGAAATTTTTTGATATTTGCAACCATAGTAAAACAAAGACTTATATTTTTGATATTTATTTTATATATTTAAATGCCATTTAACAAAGAAAAATCAGCCAAAAAAATGAGTTCGCGTGTCACCTCTGACACGCATGTCATAGGTTCGCCATCACTGCTGTAGACTATAGGTCCCAAGCCCATCATTTCAGAACTTTACATACTGGGAAATAAAATTTGATTTCTAAAAGAATTTTATGTCAAAGATTGCATAACATTTCCCAATAATTTATTTGCTTTTAGACCCTACGCCATTCATTTATTTATTCACTGACCCAATTATATATCAAGTGTTTATTATATGAACGCAGATTCTGTTCTCAGTGATGAGGACTAGAGGGGAAGCAAGACATCATCTCTGCCTTGCAGGCACTTATAGTCTAGTGAAAGAATGATAAGCAAGTAAACAAATACATAATAATTCCTGGGTAATTGTTATTCTTTTTTTTATTACTGTGACAGATTGACTTTGCATAAAGAAAAATAAAACAGTGTGAAGGAATGAGATTTGGGGGCAGGTAATGTTAGAGGATGGTCAGTGTACACTCCTCCACATGGGCCCAGAGCCCCAGATAAGACACCTGATACAGCCATTACCAAGGTAGATGGTTCTGATTAGCACAAACATCTGTTACTGCCACGATTTTTTAAGCCACAATGTTGTCTGATATGATCCAGTGTATTGTCAACATGGAAGTCTGATTGGGTCCAACACAAGACCTGTATACTGAAATTTATGATCTACCATAGTGCATGGAGAAAATTTCTAGGTAAAAATTCAGAGAAGCAACACTAGTTCTGAGGACTTTCCTTTCATGGCTTTCAATAAAAATGCACAGTAAACGCCAAAACCAAATTAGGACATGGCTTTTAAAATACATGTTTAAAATATACAACAAAAGGCTCTTTTTGAATGATCTCGATTGCAGAAGTTTATTTCTTCTTCAAAGATGCTTTGCTATATTTTCTACAGAGATATAAAACAAAAACCCACCCCCTGTCTTCTCCATAGCAAAAGATCATGGGAATTCTGCTTATTATAAGAAATCTTTCCTCTACAATAGAAGCAATTTAAATAGAGAGTTTCATCTTTTTCACTTGTTATAATAATAGAAGAGAAAAACAATTCAATGTAGGCACTACAATCTATAAAATGTTATCAAGTTATTTGAGCAATGGCTCTACATCTCCCGCAGTGTGAAAATCAGAGTCAATGTGCTTCATGATCTGCTCCCCACACACGCCCCCCTCTGGCCTCATCTCCAACTCTGTTGCTTGCTTTCCACCCACACTGGCATCCTGGCTTTTCCGAGTGCAAACCCACTCACTCCCCAGGAAAAACTAATTTCTGCAAAAATCCAGTGGCCTGCATCCTTCTAGTCTTTGCTCAAATAACATCTTATTGAGGCCTGCTCTGACCTGTTTATTTACATTTGTAGGCTTCTAGCATGCTTTATTCCCCTTTGTTTTTTCCCAAAATGCTAAATCTTTTCTAACATTCTTACTTGTTTTGATCTAATTTTAGTTTGTCTCCCTGATTATTAGAACATTAGCCCCACAAGTCTAGGGTTTGATTTGTCATATTTAGATTTTGTTTGTTTGTTTTTGCCATTTTGCCATATTCCCAGCACTGGAACAGTACCTGGCACATAATTGGTTCTTAATAAAAGTTTTTATTGAAAAAAAAAATCATTTGGCCCTAACCAGTTTGGAGCATCGACCTGCAGACTGAGTGGTCCCAGGTTCGATTCCGGTCAGGGGCATGTACCTTGGTTGCGGGCACATCTCCAGTCGGGGGTGTGCGGGAGGCAGCTGATTAATGTTTCTCTCTCCTTGATGTTTCTAACTCTCTATCTCTCTCCATTTCTCTCTGTAAAAAATCAATAAAATATATGTTTCAAAAAATCATTTGGAGTAAAAAACACCCTTGCTAAGATGACCATGGCCATTAAAGTATATATAAAATAGAGATATGTATAAAATGATCATTTTGCGGTGGTTGTTCAAAAACATCATCCATTTTGATATTCCCCATTTTAATTTCTTTCTAGCATTCCAATACAGTGAGATACAGAAATGCACAAAGAGAAGACAGCGAAATAAAGATGATCCAAGAAAAAAAGGAGCAAGCAGAAATGAAAAGGTACAGGGTGCTACACTGTTTCTTGGCTCTCACTTTGGAACAGCAAACGTTCCCTTAACCTTACTCTCCCATGAATGTCCCCTTCAAGGAAAGTGCAAGAAGAAGAGCTGCGAGAGAACCACCCGTACTTCGATAAGCCACTGTTCATAGTGGGACGGGAGCACAGGTTCAGAAACTTCTGCCGGGTGGTGGTCCGGGCACGCTTTAATGCGTAAGTACACTCAGTTCCAGCCAGGTGTTTGGCCTGAAACGTACAAACAGCAGGTGGGGTTGACATACCAGGGAGAAGGAACGTGTAATCCTAATGGGGTCACAAAATAAACTGTGGGCTAATTCATCATGCTGCTCCTATTTGCTGAGTGGCCAACCGGGTGGAAAACAAACAAAGGTTGCAAGTAGTTTAAATGTATATAAAACTCACGTTTAGAAAGCACTTAGCCATTTTTATCTGTTCATTTTAACTGCTGCCAGTACGTTTGTATCGGTGTTATTAACTCCACATTCGTTTTGAACATGGGAGCCAAGGGAGACTGAGCGACAAGGTGAAGGCATTGCGTACATCTTCTTTCCCACTTGTAATTTCTTTATGATCAAAATACCCCAATCCGTTTCTTCTAGAATAATGTAAAGTAAAAAGAAAGTTGACTAGTGTTTCCATTATCAACTGTTTCAAGAAGAAAACCCACTGGTCAGTGTCTCCATTCCTACCCACATGGAACAAATGGGCAAGAGGCTGTCAGTGCGGTCAGCCTGGAGGCCGCTGCATTTGTGATGACTCAGGCCGTTGTTAGCAGGCAGCCAGTGGGTGACATGGAATTTTTGTCGTGCATAACTTTAAGTAATATCCTGAAGACATTAAAAGTCATGGAGGAAGTACGAATACTTTCCCATCTATAGCTGGAATTTCTCTGATGCTATCATTTAAGTAAATTGACCTCCTGTGTTGATAATCAATAGCATATGATACTCACTATCTGTTGTGAGCTGAATTGGGTCCACCCCCAAAAAATATTCATGTGTTGAAGTGCTAACCCCCAGTACCCTCAGAATGTAACCAAGATAGGGACTTTTTAAAGAAGTAATTAAATTAAAATGAGGTCATTAGAGTGGGCTCTAACCCAAAATGACCAGTATCCTTACATGAGGAGGACATTTGGACAGCACAGCCATGTAGAGAGGGGAGACTACATGAAGACGTAAAGAGAAGATGGCCATCCACAAGCCAGGGAGAGGGAACTGAGACAGAGCCTCTCTCAGCTGTCTTAAGGAACCAACCCTACTGACACCTTGAACTTCTAGCCTCCAGAGCTGAGAAAATGAGCTTCTGTTGGTTAAGCCACTCCATCTGTGGTATTTTGTTATAGCAGCCATCTGAAACTAATACACTGTCATGACATTCAGGACTGGAGGAGACCTCAGCAATCATTTGGTGTTGTGTATCTTCTTCTCCAACAGGGGATGACTCTTAGGTCAGCAGAGATTAAGAGCTTTGCCAAGGACACCAGCTAGTGCATGGCCCTCTCTGACAGCCAATCCATGGTTCTTTCTGCTTTTCAGGAAAGATCTTCACAGCTTCAGATAACTGAAAAATAATCATTAAAAACTCCCCTGAGTTTTCACAAAGTAAAGGAAAAAGTTGGCAATTTAAAATTGATTTGATGAGTTCCAAAGTGGGTTTTTAATCTGGAATTATCCTGTTGGCTGCCTTCATGTTAACACCTAATTATTAATCCTCCACTCCATTTAGTGTGATGTAATTCTCCTTGTCAGCATCGCAGCTGAGATGGACCAAAGATGACTTTGTTGTAATTGGGAGTACACATACAAACACTATTAGGGGCTTCAGTGAAGATTGGTTCCCTGAAAAAGTAAAAGTTAGAGATTCCCTTACTGAGAAATTTTATATACATTATTCCACAAGATCACTGTTAAATAAGGGTGAAGGACTCTGATGAATTTAGAGATATTTAATTAAATAATTATGAGGAACATCTACAAACTGCTAAGGCAAAGATTTTAACTGCGTGTTTTTAAAGAAAAGCCAAAATTTAATTCTGTAAAATCCATAACAGAAATTGTTGAATGGAATCATCAACTCTAAAATTAAATATTTTGAGAAATATAAAATTTTACTTTCATATGTATTAACTGCACGCTCTTCTGATTTTTATCATCTAATGTTTTCTGTCTCCCAAAGTCACATACAATTAACATCTATAATAATAAAAGTGAAACATGCAAATCAACAGAACAGCCAATCAGCAGGATGACTGGATGACCTTCCAGACAAAGCCAGAGTGGCTGTGAGGGCTGAGGCAGCCGGGGCTGCGAGGGCCTACCCTTGCACGAATTTCATGCATCGGGCCTCTAGTATATTAAATGGACATTTTATAAAGGGTAAAAAGAGATTTAGGTAGATGTGATGTTTCTAAATTCTATGCTGCCAAGTTATAACACCATTGCTATATTGCAGAAGTTTATACGATTATTCTCTCTTACAGATCTAAAACAGATCCTGTCACAGGAGCTGTGAAAAATACAAAGTACCATCAACTTTAGTAAGCTTTCCAACTTCTGTTTCCCATGCACATTTGAAGTTTCTGTGTACTATTTTATGATGCATAAAAATATTAAAAATGCCCTCTATTTTCCTGCTATGTTGTGCCATGAAATAGACAATTGATGATTCATAAAAATGTACCAGTCACATTATTAGAATCACAACAGTGACTTCTCTGGCTTTTAGCTGCCTTTACTGGATCGTGTGTGTTCCTCAGTTCTGTTTGGTCTTTGGCAGTGACTTGTTGGGATTGGTGACTTACCTGGACTGGGTCATGATCATTGTAACCATCTGCTCCTGCATTTCCATGATGTTCGAATCTCCCTTCCGAAGAGTCATGCATGCACCTACTTTGCAGGTACCTCTGCTGAATCTTAACCCACAGCTCCGAGGAAAGACACTGACCTGCATCTTTTCCATTCACTGTGATCAAACTGCCTTTTGCTCATTTCAGATTGCTGAGTATGTATTTGTGATATTCATGAGCATTGAGCTTAATCTGAAGATTATGGCAGATGGCTTATTTTTCACTCCGACTGCTGTCATCAGAGACTTTGGTGGAGTAATGGACATATTTATATATCTTGTAAGTCTTTGATTATTTCCTAAATATAAAATATAATGGATTTGTAAAAGCTCCTGCTTTTCTTGGTACAAGAGTGAGATATGTGAGTCACCAAAGTTTAGATGCCAAAACTGAGTTCTTAAGTAAAGTACTAGTAAGTCCATTATAGCTGAATAAGAGGCATGCATATAAAAATCTAAATGGAAAGCATCAAAAAGATTCATGGAGAATACATCATCCACTTTTATGTATGCATAAGACATGCATTAATGAGGTCTATGATAGCAAAACTAGTTTGCCCCCCACAATTCTAATGGCTCCAATACTAAAAAAAAAAAACCT